ACCTAGATACAAGAAACTACGGAGCGGAACACCTGGACGCCCTGGACTTCCACGCCCGACACCTAGATACAAGAAACTACGGAGCGGAACACCTGGACACCCTGGACTTCCACATCCAACACTTGGACACAGAAAACTACGGAAAGGAATACCTGAACACCCTGAACTTTTACATGCGACATCTAGACACAGGAAACTACGGAGCGGAACACCTGGACACCCTGAACTTTCATATCCAGTACCTAGATACAAGAAACTACGGAGCGGAACACCTGGACACCCTGGACTTCCACATCCAACACTTGGACACAGAAAACTACGGAAAGGAATACCTGAACACCCTGAACTTTTACATGCGACATCTAGACACAGGAAACTACGGAGCGGAACACCTGGACACCCTGAACTTTCATATCCAGTACCTAGATACAAGAAACTACGGAGCGGAACACCTGGACACCCTGGACTTCCACATCCAGTACCTGGATACAAGAAACTACGGAGTGGAACACCTGGACATCCTGTATCACACATGAATGCTATTAAAAACTTAATAATTCTATACTGTTGTGAAAGCACCCTTATACTAACTGGAAATTCGGTATGAACGGTAGCTTCACATATAAAGTGTATTTGATTGTGTCGTGTATTCGTAAATTACTAACACCATACAGAGTACAAATAGGTAAAGAAGGTAAAGCAGTCAGCGCCATCTGTCGTGTAAAAAATGCGATGGACGTGCGAAGACGACGACGACGACGGAACTGAAATAAAATCATCTCGCTCGCCATCTCAATACGCCCTGATCTCGTACACAAATCTTATTGAACGTGGTGGCAATCAATTCAGAACCCTTAATTTCTATAGTGAATGAATCAATAACTTTTTCTCATGTATAGTGGTTATTAAGATATTTCGTTCCAAACACAGGTATAAGAGCTGACTCAAGTAAAGAGTCTCTGCGAGGTGTGCCCTGTACAGCCGGTTGCCTGTATTTAGCGCGAGACTCGCCCGAGTCTCTTGATTCGAATAAATAATTCTGGAAAAGTATCTTTGAATACTTCTAGTAGAAGGTTTGAACGTATCTTACGAATTTTTACCAAATTTGTATCATTTTTCAATATCTGAAAATTGTGATGAACGTGAAAGACCCAAGTTTACGCTTCAAAGGTGTCGAAAAAATATTATACAAAATAATGAAATATAAAAAACCCTAATCCCGATTGGGGTTGAAAAGTTTTTATTTATTTTGAAACAAACTATTCAGACGGCTTTAACTAAATGAATGTTATTTAATTTTTTAACAATCTTATTAAAACCTGTGTGGATATCACAATTTTCATTATTTTAACGCTTTTCTTGATTAGTGCGATAGTGGTTCGTATGGTTCGAAATAAAAGTTTAGTCTTTTGCATCAGTTGTGTAGAATACAAATTATTGCACCCACAAACTTGCCCTATCAATTTTGAATCGTCGATTTTAAAACTATCTTCTAATTGCAACGGGACGTGACGATAAAAAGAAATAATATTTTTGTGGACTTTAATAGTGTTTAAACAAGTTTTAAAAAGTTTCACAACTTACAGTTTTCGTTAAAACAATCACAAAAATCATTTATTTCTTCGCCATTTTGACCGGAAGGTCCCTTTAAAGGCCATTCTACAATGCAATATAATAACACGTAACACGTAAGAAATAAGCAATAAGATCTTCAATTGATATTTACCTAATTCCATTGGATCCTCCAATCAAGAAGAAGAAAATTGTTTTTAAAACCGAGCGTTTACTAAGTCTCTACGATTTTGGTGACGTCTTGGACATAGCAACAATACGGAAGCGGTTGCTAGGGTCGTTAAGGATTTCACGGAGCACGGAACGTGATGAGTAGCATCAAGCATGCCCCGTCATCACCTGTCATTATGGCGAACATAGACGAGATCATTATCAATATCGTTAGAGAAATGAAATTTCTCTACGATAAAAGTCATCGTGACTTTAAAAATGAAGTAATTATTTACTTATCTATATGAATAAATGCATACACATTTTTTTTTAAATTTATGTATTGACAGATAATGACAGGTGACAGGTAATGACATTTGACAATGACGTTTCGTGCTCCGTTAAATCGTTAACGACCCCAGCAACCGCTTCCGTATCGTTGTTATGTCCAAGACGTCACCAAAATCGTAGAGACTTAGTAAACGCTCGGTTTTAAAAACAATTTTCTTCTTCTTGATTGGAGGATCCAATGGAATTAGGTAAATATCAATTGAAGATCTTATTGCTTATTTCTTACGTGTTACGTGTTATTATATTGCATTGTAGAATGGCCTTAAGTAAGTTTTAAAGGATTAAAGATCTGGAGTGCAGCATATTAACTAATTTTCAATATTAAATTTTATTGAGTTCTATAATATTTATTCAGACAAAATCATATAACACGAACTACTGACTTTGAATAAAAATCTTTCATGGTGTATATTTAGTTAAATATTACAATATAATTCAAAAAAATAAAATATTTAATTAAAATCTTAAATTAAAATGTTTTTAACAAATTTGTACGCTAGAAATTATAAAAGCTAAAACTAATTATAATTTTGAATACTGAAAGTTTGATGACATAATTAAACATAAACAGACTCGAAAAATATTCTAAAAAGCCAAATACGATATAAGTATCAAGGGATTTGTTTTGTAGAGAATAACACATAAAAACCGGCTATGAAATAAGGAAATATTTTCAGATGATTCTGAAAACCGTAATAATCAGAGAGACGATAAACATTACCAGATATATGATGACACTGACCAGTATACGTTAAACATGATTGTTCTGTTTCTGTATCTGATATCTATCCAGTATTACTCACTTCCTACAACATCCCGCATCATAGTGGACTGTTCCGAAATTCACGATACTACTGCGAGTGACGTCGTATTCTTATTTATCTGTATACATCTGGGAGAAACAAAAGTAATCTCGTAGTACTGAGAACCGATTTCCAAATGTACATGGTGACAAATGGGAAAGTGTGAAAACTGACTACTTTTTTTTAACAAGTACAGGAATCAAAAAAACGAAATGATGGTTAAATAGTAGAAACTTTGAAGTTTTATTAAGGAACATAATTGCATAATTTTAAAAGTGGTATACATTTTAGAAACGAACATCTTAAAAATACCGAAAATTCAAAAACCTAGAGCAACTCAAAGCGGCTATTCAGTTTTAGTGTTTTAAAAAAGGCTCGATTGCTGTGCCAATTCAGATGGTGCACATTTCGAAAACTTATACTATTAAGTGTTTTGCTCATTACGAATTTTCGGTATTTTAAAAATATTAGTTTCTAAAATATATAAAGCTTTTAAAATCATGCAATTGTGTTCCTTAAAAAACCTCAAAGTTTCTACTATTTAACCATTATTTCGTTTTTTCATTCCTATACCCGTTCAAAAATGGTAATCAATTAGTTGTGACACCTTCCCATTTGTCACCCTGTATTTATAATAATTTTAATTATAAACATGAGAGTCTAAGAGTAAACCGTGATATTCGCCGAACTCCAACTAAACGGTAAACCGTGGAAAGAAACATGACGTAGTTAAGGGTATTGATGCAAGCTATGATAAACATTTTGCACTAATAACATATGTGACATTGTATCTCAATGGTGCTCAATGGGCGTAAGAAAAAATTCTTTCGCAATTATCGTTACAGAACTTAGAATCTGAGCCCTAAGTGCTGAACATACGATATTACGGAAAAATAATCTGTAATGAGGTAGAAGTGTGACCTGTTCCCCTTTAACCACTTTACTGTTTTGTGATAAAAATGCTTTTAAAACCAAAAATGCTCTCAATGTACAAGTTATCAAAACTATAGAAAGACTAGATTCTGGGGTTTTTTGAATCGCTAAATCCGAATCTGGGGCCAAAAAGAAAAGATTGTAAATAGCGGATAAAATCCGAAAAGTAATTCTAACGCGTAAAAATTTGTATTTAGAAGTTTTCGAAGCCACTGATTTTGACTTCATAATTGAAATTTTCGAATTTAAGATAACCGATCCAGTATGGTGGACTCAATTTCCGAAAAATCGTTTGATATGAATATTTTCGTCATGAGCATTCTTGGCCACTTGTTTTGGCGGATTTGTCCATCATAAACAGTCAGGGAGTTAATAACATAATGCACATAAATCGGATGAACATTCTTCTCGTGTTTCATTCACTCAGAATTCACACTTACAGTCCGGTTATTTTTGTTCCGTTAGAGTTTTATAATGAAAATATTATTTTCATCTTCGTAATGTACGCAACGGAGATGTCGCAATAAGTCAAGTATTATTGAAGTAAACAGATACAATCTTATTTAGTATATAGAGCGCAGTACGTGGTTAGAAATCATAACTCTAATTACAAAAACCTATAAAATTTAATAGACAAAAAACAATTTAACGAATAAATTAACTCACGCTGCCAAATAATACTTATTCTCGTCATTGTTCAATAGCCAGAGAACATTCAAATATTTTCATGATAGTTATGAATATATTATTAAGATCCCTGCATCATGTAGTTTGGTAATTAATAACCTCAACATAATTGGCCGGGAAAAGACCATAAGTTCCATCCGGCGCAAGACCTTGCCACCAACCCTCGTCAATTGCATCAATATGAGTAATTATGTCACCAGGATCGAATGTTATTTCCGTATCATCTGCTGCCTGATAATCGTATAGAGCTCTGGCTCTCATGCCTTCATTATTTGGATCGAAATACAAATATGACGCGCCATCTAATTGACTATACAATTCATTTTCCGTGTTGCTTTCATTAATTAATTGATTTTCCTGAAGGGTTGTTCCCAGTGTCTCAGGCTGATTACTCGCTACTGCTTCAACTTTTGGAGTCGTTAAACAAGCTCCCTCAGATGACTTCACCTGAATATGCGACATTTCATCAAATTTTTCAATATCGGCATTATTAACCTCAGATCTTATTTCAGACTTGTCATCCTTAATAGTTAGTTGATCCATTTGCAGGTTTTGTTCAAACACTTTTTTCGCATTTTCCATAGGACTAGTTTTCAATGTCGTTTTTTGTTGTAAGAAATTTGTTGATCCATGCTTCATTTGTCCTGCTGCTGTATTCTGTTCGAAGATCGCCCGAGCATTTATTGTGCGCTGCGCTATCAATTGCTGCGTTTCTTTACTTCGCTGTTTTCTTAATTCTTCGCTTCGTGACTTGCGCTCCTCGTCAGAGTCACTACTTCCACGGTGGATGAGCAGTTGCTGGTAACGCAAATTCTTAATCTCCTGAGCACGTTGATCAGCTTCTTTCTCCTTTTCCACTATGCTTTCTTTGACTGATACCTGATTAATTAAAAACGTTCAAATTAGACAAATATTTTGAATGCAGTTACAAACAAAAAAAAAATCGAAAAAGAATAAACATTATTATAAGTAAATGAACATATTGTATAATAGTTATTGAAATAGAGGAGCAAAGATTGTAATGTCTTGTGACGAGTAAAATGCAAAAGAAGCAGATGATTGTAACTAGATCGACAAATTTTCCTTTCTCATAGAGGAGGCTATGTGACCGTGGAAAATTGTTTTCCAGATCTTCATGTCACCATGTTCAAAATGTGCCAAAGTTTCGAGAAACGTCGTGTGTGTGTATGTGTGTGTGCGTGCGGGCGTGCGTGTGTGTAATAGCCTCGCAAAATTCAAACGTGTATAACTCAAGAATTGCATGTGCAGCTCTATAATCCCTTCATTGACTATATTTTTCGTCATGATTGAAGCTGCGTCTCGAATTTTATGTCGTTTTCAAATTCCTAAAAAAAGGACGTTATTACTCTAGCGATCGCAAATTTTGCGGTACACATCTAAATAGTTCTTGACTGAGAGATTTGTATCCAAGGTTGATTCATATTACATTTGGGCCGAATCCATCGAGAAGCTTTGATTTTGATATTTTGAATTTTTCGAAAAATCAAGTTTATCAATATAACTCCCGTCAACTATGACCGATTGGTCTCCAACTTTGCAAAAGTATAGAACATCATTCAGCCGTGATATGTATCAAATTTGGCAGAAATCGGCAAAACGGATCTGATTCTACACATATTCAAGTTTTTGAATTTTGAAGTCCTTACATAAGGAAGCCAAGGATTTAAATTCTGCAATTTGCTTCCTCTGAATCGTCGATGATGAAAGCCAAAGATTACAAAAAAATGAAATGTACACTATCTACAATTCGGAGCAAGCAAATTGCAAGTTTCAACTTGCGGCTTTTTTAGTTTACTTTTAATCGCTATAACGGCGGACAGCAAACAAAGGGGGTATATGGTTGTTATCAATCGTAGCAAAGATTCCTGCAATTTTTCATTAATCGTTACTTCGAAGCCCAATAATGGTTCATGTGATACTTTGATTTTAATGGAGCATCACGAAAAGGAAATTAGAAAATATTATCTAAAATTATAATCGATACAAAATATTTCCCACCATGTTTCGTTAATACAAAAAAATAATACATGTGTTGTAATTTGATTGGCTAAGCTATGTTTAATGTTAACCTACTATTCGAGACTTCAAAATAAATTCAAATATATATTTTCCTCGGAAGGAATAAAAACGAAAAATTGCAAAGCCAACCGATGATTTTTTCATATAATTTAGAAGAGCAGCAAGGGTTTAACGTAGTTTGTGTCTCAAACTACGTTGAAGGTTACTGAGTAACTGACCCACACGGCACACTATATTTCGAAAACATTACAACAATATTCGAATATTTCATTGCGACAGCAATGTTGTTGATGTCTTTATGTCAAATATTGCACAATATTTCAGGGCAATATAATAAATAAAACTTACTGATATATTGCTGAAATCTGTGACAAGAGTCCCTAACCAGACTCGGAGTATCCGAGCGAACACTAGTTCGCTGCCGCGCCGCTAGGTGGCCAAGGCAACTCGCATGAAAAAACGTAGGACCGGGTAAATAATTAATCCGTCGATTATTCGGTTTTCGTCTTCCCCGTCGATATATACTTTTGTATTCTGCATGTAAAAATTACATGTGAAATTATTGCATTTGTATAGAGTATTTAAAAATACAACCGAGGTAATATTTAAGGAGGTATAGGCAACCTGCCCAAAGAAACCCACGATACATTGCTGGCATTGGAATTTATTCTCAGTTATATTATTTCTCAGTTATCTATCTGAGTTATATTTTATTAATATTATGCATTGATATTTCCAAAATATTGACCGGCAATATTATAGCAATATTGTGATTGCAACATGCTGAGCGGATATTGCAAGGTTCCTGCAACATTCCAGAAATATTTAAACAATTTTCAATATATTTC